TTGTTGGTGGGTTGCTGGGGGCAAGGTTTAGAGCTATGGTTTCAAGGGGTTTTGATTGTGAGTTCATTCAATTGTTTGCAAACTTTGTATATCATGTAACCTTATTCTTGTGATTCCATATTTTCTCCCTTGCAGTTGGAAGCCAGTATTAAAAATGGAGATCTTCAGGGCTTTCAATTGTTTAGCGAGGCTGCAAAGCATACTTCATTCACGAGTAGAAAGAAAGATCTGACTGGGCATGAAGGGACCTCTGAGGAGGTATTAACTACTTAGGGTCCTTGTAAGTTTTTAGATATGCTGGATAGTTTTTGTTCTTATCTGACAACGGCTTTAATCACTTTAATATAATCTGAAGGGGAGGAAAAGAGAAAATAAGAACCTGCCATCCAGCGAAGAGATTGGGAGGTGGGGAGTTCCCAAGAAGCCTTTACAAGATCATGAACGCTCGAATGAAGATTGGGATGATGATGAAAGAAGCAAACACTAGAAGGTCAGACCGTGTTCAGAGTTGCAGGCAAGCAATTTGAATTGCAGAACGTGGCTTTTGTGCCCAGACAAAAATGTAGTGAATGTTGACCACGACTGCAAGCTCAGCGCATAAGGGAGAGTCAAGAGGGATACCACAATTGTCCGATATTACCGGCAGCACACTGTTATAAATCATACGATGCTTTCACATAAAGAATGTAGAATGTAGAATCGGTTTGCAGACCATCGAAATGAATTTGTTATGTATAGGTCCTTTTAGCATGTCGCACATTCTGGATGGCTTTTTCATTTTCGACTCTGGTTGGCTAAGGGCCATGGTTTTTTATTTATTAATTGGGTTGTTTTATTTGAGGAAATGAGGAATGAAAATGAAGCACAGTAACATTACCAAGAAATAGACATTTTAATTTTTATTGACATTTGACGTAAAGCACACTTTTGAATGAGTATTTTTGTGATTGGAAGTGGGTAGCAGAACCATTGAGAACTGCGTTCAGCAAACATTCTGCAATTCTGATACAAAGTAATTGCATTTCTCCCAAGTATGAACACCTTTGCTTAACTAGAACATCATCTAGAATTCGATCCTGATACAGGACTCTTGATAGGAAAAGGACTCAAGAGCCTTGCCTTAAAACAATAATCCAGGGCAATCGCAGCAGAAAGAAAAACAAAAAGACTCTGAGATAAATACAGTGCACCATCAAAAGCATGTGATAAGAAGCTACCAGCATTTAGCTCAAGAGGTTGTCCACCATCCAGTGTAGCAAGACCTGCAAAGGCAAATACATTTTCATTTCAAGGCAAAACTATGCATGCAGTGTCATATTTCAAAACTGTTTGATATGCTTGAGGATTTCAATTGTTCTGCATAGTGGTGTAATTAGTACCTTTGACAACGCCGAAAGCTGCAGGTGCTCCTGTCTTAAGATGAACATCATCCAAGTCTCTTCGAACTGCATATCGAAAGGTAACTCCAAATAGTGCACAGCTAACAAATGTGACTG